AGTTAAAATCCATTGTAGTTCTGTAAGAACTATTTGACAAATATCAACCTAAACAAAAAAAGGGAGGGAGGGAGGGAGGGAGAGACAGTGAGAGAGAGAGAGAGAGAGAGAGAGAGAGAGAAAGAAAGAAAGAAAGAAAGAAGGACATCACAATAAGTCTCCATCAGAAACAAAAGGAAAATCCCCAGAGATGCCCATAATAATCAAATGTAAAGTTATTGTAGATGTTATCTAACCAGTGGTCTCCAACCTTTCTTCCAACCATCGGCTTTGTGGATCAGCGGGCAAGCGTATGGGCACAGCTCCATTTGGGTAAGCAGTGGACACGCGGACCTGTCATTCGCACAAATAGAGCTGCACATGGGCACTTGCCCACCTGCTGCATGTGCAAGTGAAGCTACACACATGCTCACCCGCTGCTTCCATGGCCTGGTTCTGAACGGGCCACGGCTCGGTAGAGGTCTGCGGCCCAGAGGTTGGGGACCGTTGATGTAGTCCAACCCATGTTAAGTCTGGGATTCAATACAGCAGTGTTTCTTAAACATTTTGCTCTCAGAACCACTTCCCACTTTTAAAAAATTATGGAGCACCCCAAAAGAGTTTTTATTTGTCTTATATTTATTAATATTTGTCATGTTAAAAAATTAAAACTGAACATATGTAGAATATTTATCGAATCATGTAAAAATAATATTAAACTCATTAGATATTAACATATGTAAAATATTTTTCATGAGAAGAGTGACATTGTTTTAAATTCCTGCTAGTATCTTCAATATCTGACAAATAATTTCACAGAGCCCTTAGAGAATCTTGGAGGACCTCCAGGGTTCCTCAGATCACACTTTAAGAAACATTGTTCTACAGCATATTTGACAGATGGACATAATCAGTCTCTGAAGACCTCAAGTATGGTGAACTCTCCATGTCACGTGGCAACTGGTTCCACTGGCTGATGGCTGCTAAAGTCCAAATATTTTTCTGATGTCTACCTTGAACTTCCTTGTAGTTTTAATCCTTTGGTTTTGGTCCTGTCCTCTGGAGCAAAAGATGTAAATCCACTCACTTTTCAGTCTTTCATATATTTGAAGTCTGTGGTCATATCTCCCCTTAATTGTCTTTTCCATAGGCTAAACATATTCCTATCCTTTAACTGTTCTTCACAGAGTTTGATTTCCAAATATTTCACTATCTTGGTAATCCTTCTTTCAGCTTGTTTGCATCTGCCGTGATCTTTTTTTGAACAGTGATGCCCACATCAAGATGTCATAGTTAAATAGGGTCTGATCTTTACAAACTAGAAAAGAAAAAATATTTCCTTTGATCTAGATTTTGTGTTTCTCTTAAGCGATTCCAAGACAGCATTTGTCTTTTTAGCAGGCACATTACATTTCTAGTTCATGTTTTTTTGGATGACAAGGACACCCGGATCTTTTTCACAGGTACTACTGCCAAGCTCCCCCCCTCCCCATCCTGTACTTACATCAGCTGCCATGTCCAAGGCACTTTTGCAAACATAGCCTGATGAATAAACATTCATGGCCACCCACCTCATATTCCAAATCCCTTCATCTAGCCTAAGAGCAGTGCCTCCTGGCAATATTCTGCTTCCCTCAGGATGTGCCTAATCCTCTAATCACTCCTGGGAAATACAGGCCAGCTGGTTGACAGTGAAGTGTCCATTAAACACTAACACTCAGTTGATAATTCTTCAGTCTGTCTTCTGTCTTCTTTCTACCCAAGGAAAAAGGGAAGTACAGTTCAGTAGCAGAGCACATCACATCGATTGCATATAGAAGATCCATCCTCTATTCCCAAAGGCTCTATGCTGGAATTCCTAGATTGTGGTGGTTGGTCTGAATAGCAATGCTGTGCTGGATGGACCTACTATATATGATAACATCCGTGTTGTATATCATCATTCACTGGAAACTCTCATGCCTATTTTCTCACCTTTTTTGGCCCACAAGATCACAGCAAGATTGTTAACTGTCCAAAATGCTAAAGCTGTAGATGCATTTATCCTTGAATGCTAAAACAGAATTATATTCCCAGTCGAGATTCAAAGAAGTAAAAGCATAAGCTAAAGCAAAGACAGATTTTTTCTGTCCAGAAAGCAAATACAGTAGTTTATATCATGGAATTAATTTTAGCACTGTGCTATGTTGAGGTGGGCCTTAAATGCTAGAGCTCCTGGCCTCCAATTGACTATGCAAAATCTCCTCAGTTCTGATTACAAAAACCACTCTCTGTATCCCTGAATGAACCATCCCATCCAAGGGGCAGCCAAATACTACGTTCCACACAGAGACTAGCTAAGGGGTTGGGCCTCTCCTTCAACTTGTGTATTTCTGAAGACTTTTGAGCATCAGGTACAATACCGTAGGTGCCTCATCATGTATTCTTGCCCCATATGAAACCAATGCACAGATTACGGACATGACATCCAATTAGCTTTGTATTTTGAAGAACTATTTGGAGAAGAACAAGACTTGAAGAAATTGGGAAAACGGGTTAGTAGAGCCTGAGGGATGAGGGCGTAGAGAACATGGTAGATAAAGAGAGAGCACAACATTGCCAGGTGGTTGATACGTTGCACAATATGTGAAAGAATTGGAAAAAGGGAATTATTTACCCATGCGTTACCAAAATGAAATGTTTTGGACTTGGAGGCTACCCATTTAACTTGCATGTTTTAGCTTAGAACCTTTTTCATCTTTATTTTATGTCCTCAGTCATCCTACTCCAAGTAACCTTTTTTGTCAGATTGCCTGTTTGCTACTCTTGTCTTCAATATGGCATACACTTTATTTTTAACATTTTCTTTTTTTACTTTCCCATTTTCAGGAATGCATCTTTATCGTGAGTGTTCATCTTGGAATTAAAAAATGGAGCAAAGTTTGCTATAAGCAAGCATAACTTTCCCATCTTATGTGATTGTATTAGATTCGTATTATTGTCATAGCTTGTTAATAGAAAGCACAGGGGAAGGTTTTGTTGGGGAAAAGAACAACAGGAAGGAACCAGGTTGGGAAATGAAATTGTGGTCAAAGGTAGATTTGTGGTTTGGTATGCTGGCCACCGGTTTTTATTTCTATGCAGTTACTAATTAGTATTTTCTTCTCAGCCACCAAATCTGGTTTCAACTCTCTGGATCAATATTCTGCAAAAACAAAACAAAACAAAACAAAAACTCAAAATGATAAAACTTTAGATTACATTAAACTTTATATAAAGTTTTTTCTGTAGTGGATAGTTTTCTGAAATATAACTGTGGCTAGTTTACCTTTTTTACCAATAAGAAAGCTTGTGGCTATTTAACCCAATGCATTTGTTAATGCACAAGCTTTTGAGACTTGTAGTTGACTTCAATGGCTGTGTGATTGGAGGCCCCAGGCTAGAAAGGCCAGATTGCAGGTTTAGGATATCGTGCATTATGATATCTGTAATGAACGAAGAACAAAGCAAAATTAACATACCATATGAACTATGCCCATGATGGTGAACCTATGGCATGCGTGCCACAGGTGGCATGCAGTGCCCTCTCTGGTGGCACATGACCCATCATCCCAGTTCTTGGTTGCGCATGCGCGCGTGCCTCCTGCTGGCTAGCTGGTCTTTGAGTTTCTGCCACACATGGGCGGGGGGCGTGCAGGGGGGGCGTACGTGCACATGCAGGGGTGGGTACATGGGGTACATGCGTGGGGGTGCACGTCCATTACATTTTGGGGGTTTGGCCGCACGTGTGTGCATTCGCCTCTTCACGCTTTGGGCACTCAGTCCGGAAAAGGTTAGCCATCACTGAACTATGCCATTATAAACAGGTAGTCCTCAATTTACAGCTGTTTGTTTAAGGACGATTGAAAGGCATGACTGCCTTGGACAAAGTGCTTTACAACCTGTGCTTGCTCTTATAACTGTAGTATCACCTCCACAATCATGTGATTGTACTGAAAGTGCTTGGCAACCAGCTTGCATTTATGACTGGTTGCAGCATCTTGCGGTCACTTGATCACAGTTTGCTAAATGACTGTGATGTGCTTAATGACTGTGCTAAAAATCATCATAAAATCGAGTCCAGTCGCAGGATGGTTCAACTTACTGACTTACGACTGAAATTCCAATCCCAAGTGTGATCGTAAATCAAGGACTACCTGTATATAGACCTAGAATTTCTGGATGATCTTCCCCTCACCCTGAGAAAGAGCGTATCAGGTAGGACCAACGTCCCTGTGCAGATTGCAAGTGGAAGGAACTATGCTTGTGAATGATGCTACTGTGACTTTCTGCTCATAATTGCAGAATAATGCAGTTGTCAGCTTCCTGAACCATAATGTCTATAATTTTTCAGTGTTCCATATATCTCTTGCACTTCAAAGAGCTTGCTGTTTTAAATGAATATAAACCTCCTTGGAGTCAAGGTCAGCTATTAAGTAGCTACATGGAGATTTCCATATAATTTTCTTGGCAGTAAAACAGGACTGGTTTGTAGTTATTCTCCAGGTTATTGCTATTGTTTACCAGTCTAGTCTTTATCCCTGCATTTTCCGCATGGTCTTTCATCCACGTGGTAACTAGGTTTGACTCTACTTAGGATTCTGACATCCATTCAAGGTCAGCTACTGCTACACCTAGCACAGGTGTACAGGAAAGCTGTAATTTATCTAGAACCATCCAAACACTAGCAGTAGATCCTGACTTAGTCATTTAGTATTATTTTTTTAAGTATTGTGGAATGAAACCTAAGAGAAGTCCATGTTGATTAAAACCATGTTAAGCCATGATTTGTTTTAACTGTGGCTTCTTGAATGCCAAACCTCATTATGGCTTATGTAATCCATAATCAACCCCAAAGGGTATCTCATGTCCTGTTGTGAGATGAATCCAGTTGTACTTCCTCTTCTTACTAGTGACATTTTTCAGAATCTGTTCCTGACTGTTCCTTTCCTTTTTTTTTTCCTGTTCCTTTCCTTTCCATCTTTTTTTTTTTCTTACCCCAGGCCTATGAACTTTCCACTCTTACGGGCACTCAAGTGTTGCTACTTGTGGCCAGTGAGACAGGCCACGTCTACACTTTCGCCACACGGAAACTGCAGCCAATGATCACCAGCGAGACGGGCAAGGCGCTGATCCAGACATGCTTGAATTCTCCTGACTCCCCTCCTCGGTCGGACCCAACCAGCGATCAGCGCATGAGTGCTACGGGCTTTGAGGAAACGGACCTTACGTATCAGGTGTCGGAGTCGGACAGCAGCGGAGAAACAAAGGTACCCCCAATTTCTACCTTATCTTGTCAGTCTTTGGCGAGAGAAAGAGCTACTAGCATTGTTGCTCTCTGCATGTGCTTCAGTGCAGTAGACCTGCGTGTTACCAGCTTAACTGCAAGGAGCAGACTGTTTCTTCATTGCACCAATGAAGTCTAGCAGTGTAAGAGTTAATTCCCATAACTTAACCTTGCAAGGTTAACTTTAGAAGGAAAAAAAAATGAGGTGCTCTGCGGGATGCAGTACATTAGGAGCTGTCAGGACCTGGATTCTGCTGTTGGGCATTGATTTGGGGAGAAGCAGCGTCTCCCCTGATCCCCAGGAATCCTCTCTGTGCACATGTTACCCAGCTTCAGTAAAGTTTGGCAGGGAGAAAGGCTGAAGCTGACTGAGAGTGCTTTGATTGCTCAGACTTATCTAGTATTACTTCTCCTGGGAGGCTGCCCTCCGTTCTCCCACCACCTTCCCTGGGACTGGAATAGATGGGCTGGATATCCGCCGAAATGGGATGGGTACAGCCCGTGTCATGCCTTCCTCTAATGGCAGCAGGCGTTGGGTGGCTGGGCTGGGCTGGGCTGAATGTGGCAGGTGCTCTTTGCTTTCCTGCTAGGACCTCCTGGAGCAGCTCTGTTTTTGGTTATCTCTGCTTGGGCGTCTCTGTGCTCCCGCTCATTGATAAAAATTGAATTCTGCCTCCATGGCCATATAAGGCCTGATTTCCTTCCCTGGAGTCCCTGGCTGGGCCCCTCACATTCCTTATAAGCTGCAGCTGTCTCTTGCTTGGTGCTGTTTTGGAAGGGGGCAGGGAGGACAGGGGGAATTGAAACACTTGGCTGAACAGACTATTCCTTCTTTCTCTCTGAGTGTCCAGCCAAATACTCTGCTAGCTTAACTCTTTACTTTCTCTACAGCAGCTGGAGCATTACTAGAGAAGTGGGGTACCCAGAGGACATCCTGTATGTGTTAGTGTGTGTGTGAGGGAGAGAATACCTGCCTCTCTTGGCAGGAGAGAGCAGTTGTTTTGTTATCCCCAAGATGGAGAAAAGTTTTAAGTGCTTTTCTTCAGTACCAGCCTTAAAACATTAGGCATCTTCATACCGCTTAAATTATCTCTGTAAATCTGTGTCACAAAGTTGTTTGCTACTTCAAAGGTGATCCAAGCCTTCTAATGGCAACAGTCATGTTATCTCACTTTGCAGGCTAAAGAGGCAGTGTTTTGCCAGATCCCACATGATGAATTCTATGTTCTTTGCTATTGCTTCAGCGGTTCACCCTCTTCCCAGTTTTTATTGCTGTGGCCAGCACAGCACTTTCTCAAGGCCTGCTACCTGACTGTTAGCAGGAGATGCCAGAGACTGAACCCAGGAACTTCAGAATGCTTTACCCCCAAGCCAACATCCTTCTCTTCAAATCTGAAAATCTTTTCTTATTCTCGGCAAGCATGTAGGCAGGAGATAGGAAATGAAACTCCTGTAATAGCTTTTTCAGATCCCACACAGCTGTCTGCCTTGGCTTGAAACAATCGTCAGTTGCATGAAGCAAATGATTCCTCTAAAAACCAGCCCTACTTATATTGCCTCTTGTGACTGTTCAGGGGAGACCCCCCTGTTGAGTAAACATAAACTTCATTTTCAGGCTTTTCCAACTGGACATCATATAATGTCCTACACATTGTTTTTTTAAGTATGGAGAATACAGGTATGACTAATCACTGTAGATTATTTTTCTAGCAGTGATTTTACCATTGGTGCATTATTTGCAGGAGGTGGGTGGGTTAACAGCAATGTACCGTAATTATTCTGTTTGTCCTTGAAGCACAGCATTAAAGTAGGTAGCATGTTACAGCCTGGCTGAGAATCTCTGCTTCTTGCATTACCTTTTTATTGGAGAGGTTTTCAGGTACAGTGCAAGAAAAGAACAGTCTCCTTCTCCAATATCCCAGTTCTCTCTATCTTTGTTCAAAGGCCAAACCAGCATTTTAGAAAATGGATACCTACCTAGCTATCTGCCTGCCTGCCTGCCTGCCTGCCTGCCTATCTACCTACCTACCTAAATACTTTGATGTATTGCCAAATTTGAGTATTTAAGATTTTTTCTTTCCCATCTCCATATGTAATACCACAGCTTGAACTCCTTCAGACTCTGTTTCAGATCAACACAGTTTTGGGGAAGATATAATAGGTCCAAAAATCCATTTTTCTCTGGTCTATGATACTTTTTAAACAGAGTTCTTAGATTCTTACAAGTTAAAACTTATAACCTTAGGCTTCCATTTAATATGGTTTTTTTTCAGTTGGTACTCTACTATGAACATGAGAGATGATTTGTGGTCAGATTTTGGTTCTACTAAACAATGGTTATAGATTTTATAGTCCCAACAGGAGGCTCAGTATTGGGGGAGGCTTCTGGGAAGAAACAACTTGCAGGTACTATTCATAGATTCCATCTCTTTTGATCATCATCAGCCACGATTTGGGGATGAAGATGGGGGTGAAAAGTCAATTTGAAGAAGAACCAAACAGATCATGCCTTCTGTGGAAGGAGCAATCTGGAATTAGCAAAGTAAATTTCTAAAAGGATGATGTGTCTTATTTGCAATATGTCTGGTTGATGCATAACTCTCTTTGGGGATCGTTGGCTATTAGAAATACAGATGTAACAGCTTAAACCTGAATGAGGAATACCCATGTTCCTTCTAAGAACAGGTGATGGGATTTTATCTTAGCTTGCATCATTATGGCCCTGGCCTCTCTCTCCAGAATCAAACAGTTGGGTAAGAGTGTACTACTTGCCATGGAAACACTTTTCAACTAGGCATATTCTGGCACACAAAACAGCATAGCAACAAAAGCCTGCAATTTGACAACAGGCAGTGCTTGCTACAGTATCAAAACTAAAGAGAGAAAGTAGAAACTTGAAAACTAACTTGCAGGTTGATTGGATTGGGGAATAAGAATGTGATAGCATATTCTTTCTGTCATGGTCAACATACTTGTTTTAGATTAGAGTAGATAATAGGGCTTTTTTCATATTGTTAAGATACAAATTCATTGTCCCTCATTGCTGGTCATGCTAATGAAGATGGGAGTGGTTATTCAGCCGCATTGATTTCTTTTATCAGTCTTCAAAACCCAGAAAGTTAAAAGATGAGCAAGGAAAACTAGGAGTACTTTGACTTATAGTCGTATCATACTTTTTCTCAGTTTTCCTAAGTTTTGCTTTATAGAAGACCAGTGAAATGTGGTATAGTGACCGAAATAATATGATGAAAGTTTCTTTAGGTTTCATTAAACATTATTGAGCATGAGCTTCAGAATACAGCTGCATCATTGACATTCTTTTTTGTGTATCCCTTTGTCCCAAGGCTCAGTGCTCTTCTATTATAGCTTGCTTGAGGTGAAAGTGGCTTTGTGGATATGTATCTCATCTGCAAAGAGATGATGAGATGAAGAAAACTTTCTCTGATCCTGGAGAAAGCAATTTCCCCACAGTGCCTCTTTAGAGAAAGAGAGGAACAGGTGAAGTACAGAAAGACTCTTCCTGTACATTTCTTCCATTCTCCTCACATCTTACTTTCTCCTATTTCTTGGTCACATTTCATATCTAAATGGTATACCAGTAGCTTTACAAGCAGTCCTCGACTTACAACCACAATTGTGTCCATAGTTTCTGTTGCCTAAGTGAAACAGTTGTTAAGTGAATTTTGCCCCATTTTATGACCTTCCTTGCCAAAGTTGTTAAGTGAATCACTGTAGTTGTTAAGTTAATAATATGGTTCTTAAGTGAATCTGGCTTCCCCATTGATTTTGCTTTTAAAAAGGTCGCAAAAAGGGGATCACATGACCTTAAGACCCTGCAACCATCATCAACGAGTCAGTTGTCAAGTATCTGAATTTTGATCACATGACTATGGGGATGCTGTAAGTGTGAAAATAGTTATGTCACTTTTTTCAGTGCCATTGTAACTGAGCAGTCACTAAATGATCTGTTGTAAGTTGAGGACTACTTGTATAGACATACACATTAGGCATAATGCAAGATACTTAAAAATAACCCTCTATTAATAAATGGCCAAAACATAATGTTTCACCCTAAATTGCTCTACACTTGCATTGTATAAATGAAGACAGCTTTGAGTTTCACTTGACTCAGGCAACAGAAACTTCATAGTAATATTTCTCAACTGCCCTCAAATGTGATAGTCCTGACTCTCATAATTTTTATCTTCCATGGGATTATTGTTGAAGTCCAATTTATTTAGAAGTTACCAAATTGGATAAAACCCATTTTAAAGCCTTTTCCTCCTTTCAAATGATACTACATTTTGGAAGGGATGAAAAGTTATAGGACTAATTCTCATGATAACTTGGCTAGTAAAAATGAACAAATGTTTTCACATTTGTTTGTGAAAACAAATGACTGAGAAACCGGCCCCATAAGTTATTTTTTCTAAAGTTTCTAACATACTATGTCCTATTTGGTGTCTATCAGACAGAAGGGCATCAGCGTAATGTAAACTGCAAACTCTGCACTAATTTTTAATATTTCATACTGATCATATCAACATAGGCATTTCTGACTGTCTTAAGTATCTGCCTGTCTAGATCTTGGGATTTTTGCAAAACTTAAATATGGTATTTTTTTCACAAGGCATGTAGGAATAATGAGGAAAAGGAAATTTAGTTTATTAATGAGCAACCTGCATTCCAACAAAGTTAATTTCCTCGAGAACTGTAGATATTTAACAAAACTGTACTGCTTTGGCTGCCTATAAGTATTAATTTTGTGTGTGTGTGTGTGTGTGTGTGTGTGTGTGTACATGCAAGAAACGAATTCTTTATATTCATATTATATATAATGTGCCAATTCTCAGATATGTTGAACTACATTTGAATATTTTTGAATTTTAGATAATTATTCTGTGAATAGAAAAAGTGGTAAATATTACTGAACTGAGAGGGGAATGTTACGGCTTAATAGAATTTGGATTAGGGATGAAATCC